TCTTCGTTACAAGTGTCATTTTCGTCTCTGACGACTGGAGTATTTTATGTAGTTTAAAAGTTAGTTTGAACTTAAAAAAAGATTTTAGATATTTAGGTAAATATGTACATACGAGTATATAAGAAATAAGCCTTTTTATTTACCATAAACAAGTGAAAATAAGTTGATATTATAAGTTATAAAATTTTTAATGCCACACAATGTATATTACACTTAACTAAACAGATAAAATGAATATTAAGATGGGACATCCTTTATTTAGACATACAGTCTGCATGCAAATTTTTATAGTACTCTCATGGCTAAAAAACATTTGGTAGAGGCACCTATTAGTCTAGAGATCTTTCTAACAGACAGATACATGAATAATTTATAAATTATCAATAACGATGTTATGCACCGGTAAAGCAAATCAAACTGCGTTATTTACTATTTTAGCAGTCGCTGTTTAAAATTTATTTTGGTATATTTCAAATATTTTCCATGAAATTCCATAAAATTAATAAAACAAAAATGAAATATGAATTATATTCTCATTGAAACGCAATAAGCCAGGGCTGAAAATTTTTGAGACAAAAAAAAAATAGTAACATGATGAAACCCATTGTAAAAGGAACAAAAATATTAACAAAATTAAATGAAAAGTAATTTACGGACGATCTGAGGTTGGGATATGGAATATTATTTTTTGATGTAAAAAAATATTCATGATTATAGCAAATTGCACGACAACTTAAAAAAAAAACAAAAAAAAATTAATTGAATTCAAAACATTCATAAAAAAGGTGACAGAAGAAAATACTCCAACTATAAATAATTAAGTGTAAAAAACTCTGTCTTCGTGAACAATTATAAAAAAATAATAAAGAAAGGAAAGAAAAAATAAAAATTAAAGATTATAGAAGAAAGAATAGAGAATCACGTTACGAATAGGTTTGAGGAGGAGAAAATGGTTTTCATGGTCTTACTATGACAACCTATTTTGCCTAACACAACTATTAAAAAAAAAAAGAACAGCGAGAAACTTATATTGCAGGTGTTCATAGATCTGAAAAAAGGCTATGATAGCATACCGTCAGTAGATTGTGGCTTGTAATAACAGCGTAAGTGAAGCAATACGAAGAGCAGAGCATAAACACAAACTATGGTTTGGGTACGTTGAGCACGCCCTTATTATCTGGACGTATTAATATCGAGAAGAAAAACTAAATGCATTCCTGCAACACATTAATAAAATCCACTCCAAAATAGTGTATTATGAAACGGGAGCAGAATCAACTTTCATTTTTAGTTTTGTTAGGGATAAATATCGATTTTACTAAAAGCCACACAAATCATATATAAATGAAGGAAAGTAGAAGGCAAATTACAAAAAGTTTACTGCAAATGAAACTAACATCATAAACTAAAATAGTCTTAAACGTGATTTTAAAAAATCTTTTGACATATTTTGGAATTTTGACTATTTTAAAATAGATTGTTCACTCTGATTGCTAGGTAGATACAATCATTTTAGGTAGATATAATCCTAAATGAAAACCTCTAATAAAATAATTGTAAATTGAGACATGGTTGGGGTCGGATAGAGGGAAAAGGCGGAATTGGTAGGAAGAAATATTCATGGCTCCGAAACCTTCCTGTAATGGCTTATCAGCAGATGAATTGTCGCGCAATATCGACAACAATATCGGCATAAAAAAAGTCATAAAAGCTACTCACGCCTAATTTGTGCACTGTACTCAAAGAAGAAGATGTTTAGGGCACCACCCCAACCAGAATAAACCTGTTGGTCGAGAAAAGGACGAATAATTGTGGAATAGAAGGTGGCGAAACAGTGGCAGATTCTGACAGTGATGGATAAATGGTTAAAAGATAGGCAAAAAAGAGTGAAAGGTAAACTATTAGTTGACTTAGGTGTACAAGTAGCTGTTTCGGCTCCTACCCAAAAAAGGTTGGTAAGAAGGCGGCTGACGTATATGGAAATTGCCAAGAGAGGTTTGAACATACTAAGGAACATGTTCAATTTGTGCACGAGAGCTGGATGGGGGAACGACGGGGAGTTTAGGAGAAAGTATTACATTGGAAGTTCGGATAGAACTGAGACTTCGTAGTGTGAAATATAAGCACCTCGTGAAAAGGGCGATTAAAGAGATTGTAAAACGAAGAGAGAGTTACATAATAGAGTGAGACTATTGTAGTTTTATGAGAATAAAGCAATGTACAGAACTGAATAGGGAGAGAGCTGATGATTTAATGTAGTTGTTTTTGCGGGATTGTTGTTGTGTAAAGACCACAATCTTCTAATAGCTAATATCAAAGTTAAACTTAATCAATAAAACGGGTTAAAGCGCTAGGACTCAGTTTAACATAAAGAAAGTTTATTGAATCATAATAAATGTGCTCAAAGTCATTGGGTAGTAAGACTAGTTTCCATTTAGGATTAATCTCAGAGAAAAGTCATCTTAAAGGAACGTGGAGAAAATGAATCCTGGAGGTAATTTTGAGTCAATTATCTAGTACGAGCAAAATCATAACTGTTAGAAAAAATAAAAATAAATGAAATGAAAAACAAAAAAACCCAACAAAAAATCAACACGCTCTTAAAAATACAAATCAACAGGAATTAAGAAGACCAGCATGTAGAGAATAAATGCAGATAATAAATGCAGACAGTTGAATTGATCATAACAAAAACTGCTCAGGAACTGTCGCAGAAATCAAGAAAGAAAGAAACGCAGAATGGTGTAATGAGGAATGTAAAATCAAATTAGAAGAAAGAAGCCAATGTTACAAATAAATATGAAGAAATTCGTAGTTAGAAGAAAATAAGAAGAATGAAAAAAAAGAAAAAAGAAAAGAAAAAAAAAGAAAATTAGAGACTTATCAACCAAGGGAACAGGCAGGATTCCGAAAAAGTTACGGAACAAATGACCATCTACAAAGTATAAAAACCTTAATAGAGAAAGCAGTGGAATACAATAAACCTCTAGTTCTAATATTTATCGATTTTCACAAAGCCTTTGACACAGTTGAGCTAAGCAAAATATTACAGGCGCAGATATACTAAATTATTATACAAAATATACCTGCAGGCAACAACCACTGTCAAATTACATACTAACAGTAATCGCATAAAAATAGAACGGGGGGTTAGACAAGGAGACCCAATGTCACCTAAACTTTTTAATACGGTGCTAGAACATGCTTTTAAGAATTTGGATTGGATGACAAAGGGAATAAAAATAGATGGAGAATATCTAAACAACTTACGTTTCGCCGATGATATACTTATAATAGCTGAAGATCTAGGTATGGCAAGAGAGATGGTACAGGAACTCGTTGTGGCTACAGAAAATGTAGGTTTAAATATAAATATCTCGAAAACAAAAATCATGACCAATTTGGTGCCCAACGAGAACATCAGTATTGGTTGGAAAGAAATAGAACTCGTAGATAGATATAACGTAGATAGATATAAATACCTGGGACATGAAATTATGATTGGCAGAGATAACCAGACTCATGAACTGAAGAGAAGAGTCGGCCTTGGGTGGGCAGCATTTGGAAAACTGAGAGAAACTTTTAAAAGTGAGCTGCCCACATGCCTAAAGAGAAAGGTATTTGATCAGTACGTTCTCCCAGTCTTGACGTACGGAGCAGAAACACTTACCTTAACAAAAGCAGCAGCTACCAAACTGAGAGTCACGCTGAGAAGAATGGAGCGGTCCATGTTAAGAATAACTCTCCGAGACAGAATAACAAACGAAGAAATCAGGAGAAGAACCATAGTGACTGACATCATTGAGAAGATAGCCAGACTAAAATGGAGATGGGCAGGACACATAGCCAGAATGACAGATGGGCGATGGACAAAGAGGTTATTGGAATGGAGGCCAAAGGAAGATAAGAGAATCGTCGGTCGACCACCTACAAGATGGACTGACGATTTAAGAAGACTCAATAAAAACTGGATAAGAGCGGCGCAAGATAGACGGGGTTGGAAACATGAGGAAGAGGCCTATGTTCTGCAGTGGACTCTTGAGGCTGGATGATGAAGAAGAATGAAAAAGAGCCTGAAAAGCAAGTAGAAAAAATCCTGAAACTGAGAAGCTGACATGAAAATCGGAAATTTCTTTAAAATAATAAAATAAACCAAGGAATCTAAACCAAATTAACACATGCAAAAACAAAGTAGTATAGTATAGCTGTTATCCAAGTAACAAAAATTATAGGTAATTAGGGAGAATACTTTAAACAACATAGGACTAGTATTTTCTAGAAGACTTTAATAGTGAAAAAAATTATGATTTATATCAAGTTTTTTACAGTTACAAGTAGAGAGAAGTTCGGACTCGAACAAGTAAAGTAAGTTGTACTTTTCTGTGCAAACGTTAGAGTGAAATTCGCTTGACCAAAGTTAACGAGTTTTCTAATCGACTTTTGAAACTAAATTAAAAAGCCATCGTCAAAGGGCCCGTTGTTTTAACGAACCTGTACCTTATTGAGCATATCTGGAACCTGTTGTAGATTGTGGTAATATCATCAAGCTGTACAGAACAGTGGAGAAGCGAGAATAATTTAATTACAATAATAAATAAATGGATAGACGCAGTCGTGGAAGACTTGAGAATGTTGGGAGTACGAGACTGGAAAGCCAAGGCGAAGAATAAGAGAGAATGGAGACTTATCCTTGAGCAGGCCAAGATCCACCATGGGTTGTGGAGCCAATGATGATGATGATGCAGTATCTTTGCATCTGCGTATAGTACTAAAAAACATACTTCGTCACTAAATGTATATAAATATCAAGAAAATGGTGTAGAGCCTAGAGCCTATCAAAACACAACGTGAGTAGTATTTAAGTTTTCTTTTATGTAATATTGATGTGATTTATTTAAAGTTGCTTAAAATTCGTTAGTAGTTATAACACTTCGTTAAAAAATTACACAGCAAATCTCGGAACAATCTTTATATATACAATAGTGATTTCTTAAACTTACCAAGAGTATTACTTTGTTGTAAATTATTAACTTAACAAGTAATGAAGATGCTAAATCACAAATTAATGGTTTGTATAAAGTAGGTCTTCACTTAACACAAATAAAACGACAATGATTTAAATCGAAGCGTCTGAGACTCGCGCCGCTAATTAAATATGCCACCCGGCAATAACGTATCTCTAAATGGAGTATCCATTTGCATTCTTAAACGTTTGACATGTAAGACAATTTTTATATCTTATTTATAAAATTACAATTATTGGAACTGTTTATTTTCATTTAGCTTATTTTCAGAGAAATAAGTCGTTTCATTTCATATCATGTCTAATGTAACAAATATTTGCAATGGAATTTCTTTGCTTGATTTAAACAATTTATTTTAATTAATAAAGTTTATAAAATGGCAAAAATATGAAATCACATTTTTTAATTTGTAAAAGAAGAAGTAATTGAGATAGAACTTTAAAAATTGGTCTGATGTTTAAAATTAAAATACTAATGGCAAATCTAAATGCTAAGATTAGCGATCAGAAAGAAGAAAATGTTGTAGAAGAGTTTGGTCTTGGAGAACGCAACGATAGAGGGTATCGATTTGTAAAATTCTGTAAAGAAGTAAATCTTTTTCTTCTTCTCTCCCTCCTTATAAGCAATTCTGTTTGTTCATTGGCGGATTAATACCTCTATGGAAGTTTGTCACTCCATCTTTTGCGCGGTCGTTCGATACTTCTGCTGCCGATTGGTAACTTATCTCTTGCTATTTTGAGGACACTGGTCTCCTCCATTCTGCTTATGTGGTTATTCCATTCTTTTTTTTTTCTATTTTGTGTCTATTCATTTATACAGTGTACATTACATTTTCTTCTAATGTCTTATAGGCATATGTCATTATTGGTCTTACACTAGTTTTATAAATTCTTGACTTCAGTGTTAATGTGTCTGTTTCGCCTTCTTCTTCTTCTAGTTCCATGACCGTTATCGATCGTTGGATATCATGTTGGCTACCATATTCGCTATCGTGACTTTATTGACAGCAGCTCTAAATATCGATGTAGTTGATTTTCCATACCATTGCATTAGATTTTTCAGCCATGATGTTCTTAAACAATTAAACACAAAAATAAAGAATATAAACTCGGACCTACAACGAGAAATAAGTAAAACAGAAATCAAGAAAGCAATTCAAGAATTAAAAAACCATATGTCACCTGGAAAAGATGAAATAACTACAGAGATGCTGAAGAGAGGAGGGAAAACAACTAGAGAAGTCCTACATATCCTCATGAACAAAATATTGACCACAAAAGAAATACCCGATAGCTGGAACGATGCGGAGACACTATTAATGTTCAAAAAAGGTGATCGAAAGAACTTAGAAAACTATAGACCTATAACATTACTAAGTGTTGTATTTAAACTACTAACGAATATCATGACAAATAGACTAAGAACTAAGCTTGACGAATACCAAGCAAGAGAACAAGCGGGATTCAAAAAGAGTTTTAGTACTAGCGACCATCTGCTAACAGTAAAAATACTGATTGAAAAGTCGAACGAGTATCAAATCCCATTATACATGGCACTCATAGACTTCCGAAAGGCGTTTGACAGCATAGAACATTGGACCATCAAAAACTCACTGCAGAACGGCAGAATTGATTACAGGTACACGGACCTAATAACAAACATATACAAAAATGCGAGTACCACAATAAAATTGACCAACGAACACGAACAATAAAATTAACGAATTGAGAACCAATAAAATTCGAAAGAGGAATCAGGCAGGGAGACACAATATCGCCAAAATTGTTCAATCAGGCTATGAAAGACATATTTAAAAAATTAGAATGGGATACATACGGAATAAGAATAAATGGAGAGCTCTTGAACCACTCGAAATATGCAGACGATATAGTCCTGATAACAGATAAGAAGGAATAGTTTCAGAAGATGGTTGAGGAACTAAATAGAAAAGCGACAGATGTAGGTCTAGAGATGAATTGTAGTAAAACCAAGACTATGACAAACCAAGAAGACCAATTAGAAATAGTAGTCAAACAGAATAAATTAGAGCAGGTGGCAGAATACATATACCTAGGACAGATAATAAAGCTGAACAGGGACAATCAAATAGAAGAAATAAAAAGAAGAACTAGACTAGCATGGGCCCCATTTGGTAAACTATAATATATTCTAAAAAATAAAAAGTTCCCTCAATATATGCGAACGAAAGTATTCAACCAGTGCATTTTACCAGTTATCACATATGGCTCACAAACATGGACTTTCACAAACATCGACAGGATATCCAAAACACAAAGAGCAATGGAAAGACAGATGCTGGGTATCGGTCTTAAAGACAGGAAAAGAAACTCATGGATCAGAGAAAAAACAAAGGTGAACGATGTATCAAGACAGGTTGCAAAACTTAAACGGAACTTCGCCGGTCACACTCTCAGGCAAAAAGATGAAAGATGGAATAAGCGAATTCTACACTGAAGACCAAGGGAAAAGAAAAGAAAAAGAGGAAGACCACATATGAGATGGACTGACGACCTTAAGCGAACGGCAGGAAAGGACTGAATGCAGATCGCCCAAAATAGAGACCAATGAAGATTAACATTGAAGGCCTATGCCCAAGAGTGGGCGTTTAAGACTGCTTAGATAGATAGATAAATAGATGTTCTTCTTCTACCAGGACCACGATTACAATGGATCTTTCCCTGAATGATCAGATGTAAAAGATCATATTTTTCAGGGTGTCTCATAATGTGACCGATGTATTCAAGCCTGCGTTTCTTTATTATACTGACCAGTTGTGTTGTTTGGTTTAGCCGTCTAAGGACCTCCTCATTTCTAACTCTGTCTAACGCTTCCACTACATACAACAGGACAGGAAAGATGTAGCAAGATGTCATTAGAACTCTAAGGTCAATGCTAAGATCGTGACTGCAAAGTACATTTCTCATTTTTACCAAGTTTCGCCATATAATGTTATTAAGGCATCCTGCCAGTCTATTTGCTTTTTGTAATTGATCTCTCACTTCTTTCTCCAGGTCTCCATAGCTACACACTGTAATTCCCAAATATTTTATTTCCATTACTTGTTCAATACTGATGCCATCGATCTGGTCGGTGCTTTGCTGACTATTGTTTTGCAGGCTATTATCATCTTGGGCTATCAATATTGCGTCTTCTGCGTAACAGTAAATTTTTATTTATTTATTTAAACTTAAAGCATAACTTCAGCACGAGACAACTAAGAAAAAGTTGTGGTTATTGACGTTTTTGTTCTACGTAGGTCACAGTTTCAATTTTACAGATTAAACAATTGACGTTGTACATAACCTTTCCATTTTTATGAAAAATGGTGTGAAGTTTTGTAGACTGCTTTCATCACTTTTTGATTGATGTATAACCTATGGAGAATTAGAAAAGAACCATGATTCATCCTATCTAATTCGTCAAGAGAAAATATGTTTGGAACATCATTTTCAATTTGTGATTGTTGCCTTTCTGACTAATATTTCCCTTTATGTTGCATTAATATAATATACCAAGGATGAAACATGTTGATATTTTTACAATTGGCTGATAACCGACGAAACTGACGTCATAATACTGCTACAATGTCCGACGTGAATTTGACAGTTGATTAACGTGAATATAATTATCCACGATATTCTGATGTTAAGCAGGTAACATTATATGTTAAGCTTATAATTTAATGTATTCTTTTTGGTAAATCAATAAATACGTTAAATTTTTAATAATTTGCATCCAGTCATATCAGTGGCGTGCGATGCGCAACTACGTACCTACGTAAAATATATACGTTTTATATGTTTTTATGTTATCAAAATAATAATTTCCTAATTTTTAAATATTACACCTCATTATATCTGCTATTCAAACGTAAATAACAACAAAAATAAATAATTATTGTACATTTATATATGTATAGCTGTTTTGGACGCAAGTGTTCATAGAAAGATTTCATCCTTAGTATAATATATCGATGGCCTGTTGTCAGTTTCAGTTACAGTGTGCTCTTTTCTGGAAAGTTATTGGATTTCTTCTCTTCTATGAATTTTGATTCAACATTACCTTGAATTTATTACTCTCATTAGAGTTACGTTTTTTTCTTCATTAAAACTCAAGCATCTTTTTTGTTTTACTTTTATTTAGCTCGGTATATTCTACGTGATAAATAAGATTCTCAATATAGTGACCTGATAAAGCACAAAAATTCAATCACTAAAATGACTGAACACAAGTTGTCAATAAAACTATAAAATCAGAGTGTGATTGTACCGTATTTATAAAATAAGAGTTGAACAATATTGCTAAAGGCATTACTCAATGATACTAAATAAAAATATTTAAAAATTCACAAGATCTAATTCACGATCCATTCTTAACGTTATCACTAATTTTTCGGTGTCGTTATTCCACTTTGCATTTCCTTGTTGTGGATCGACTGGATGAGGCAAACGTAAATCCAAGTAATAGTTGGGCGAAATTAAAATCAAGCTTTCTTTTTGTATTTTTAAATCCATATTGTAGTGGCTATCACCAGGCAAATGAACGGATACTATCATATCTTCGCAGCTTGCGGTGGTAGGATTTTTAAATCCCATCTGTAATTAAAAAGTGATAGGTGAAACAGTATCTTTTAACGCAAAAAAGTGTGATATCTCAAAGGCTCATTGTGCTTTTTATAATAATAAATTTTGTGTTTACCTGTAAAAACACATCAGATGCAGTAACTTGTTGTTTATAAGTTATATCCCATACTGGCGTATTTTTCCAATCTTGATTTACCGTAGTTTCTTCATTTTGTACGTCTTCTAATGCGTCAGCATATTCTGGATTCAACAGTTTGTTTTTATCTTTGTTCGTTTCTATTTTACTGTACGGATTTATTTTATTTTGCACATCATCATTTTGCTTCTCGATTTTAGCTAAAAATAAAAAACATACAGTAAAGTAAAAACTTCTGGTGTAAAACACAATTTCATAGTAAAGAATGTAATGAAATTCAACAATATGAAAAGAAACGATACATTTCATCTGCACAAGAAATTGAAAGAGGTCGCTGGAAATAAACGGAAACAAGTATCCCAAAGTTTAGAAGACAGAAACAGACACAGAATATTAGACATCAATGAAAATTTAAAAGAATGGGAAAACTACATTTCTGAATTATTTGAAGATGAGAGAGTAGAACACTATACACCGATTGCTATATCAGGTCCATCTATAACAGAAAGTGAGGTAAGACGTTCAATACAAACGGCAAAAAATGGAAAAGCACTTGGCTCCGATGAAGTAAGTGCTGAAATACTAAAGTTTTTGGGAGAAAATGGAATTAAAGCGCTGTGTAATCTCTTTAACAGAATTTATGACACTGGGATATTACCAACTGATTGGTTAAAGTCGACATTTGTCACAATACCTAAGAAACATCGTCCAAAGACAAGCGTGATTATCGGACAATAAGTCTGATGAGTCACGTTTTGAAAATCTTTCTGCGAGTAATACACAGCAGAATTTACACGCTGTTAGAGGACAGAATTAGCAATACTCAATTTGGGTTTAGAAGTGGCTTGGGTACAAGAGAAGCCTTGTTTAGTATACAGGTGCTAGTACAGAGATGCAGAGATATAAATCAAAATGTGTATATTTGTGCAATCGATTTTGAAAAAGCTTTTGACAAAGTCCGACATAACAAAATGCTAGAAATATTGGAAACAGCTGGATTGGACGATAAAGATCTACGAATAATTACAAATCTATACTGGCATCAAGTGGCAAGAATAAAGGTTGAACAAGAACTGTCGGATGAAATAAATATAAAAAGAGGAGTGAGACAAGGCTGTATATTGTCGCCTTTACTTTTTAACTTATATTCGGAGCAAATATTTAAGGAAGCCTTAATGGAGACAACCGAAGGTATTATTGTGAATGGAGTAACCGTCAACAATATTAGATATGCCGACGATACCTTAGTCCTTGCCAATTGCGGAGAAGACCTTCAAAATCTAATGAACAAAATAAAACAGACTTGTGATCAGTATGGATTAAAACTCAACGTTAAGAAAACTAAATATATGATAGTTAGCAAACAAAATTATATACATGAGGACGGTATAAAAGTCGGAGATGCCACACTGAACAGAGTAGAGAAACTCGTGTATCTCGGCAGTAATATCAATGAGAGCTGGGATCCAACCGCAGAAATTAAAAGCCGAATAGAACAAGCCCGAGCTGCCTTTGTAAAAATGAGAAACGTACTTTGCAGTCACGGTCTTAGCATTGACCTTAGAGTTCATATGATATCTTGCTACATCTTTCCTGTCCTGCTGTATGGAGTAGAAGCGTGGACCCTAACTGAGGCTATGCTTAAACGCTTGACAGCCTTTGAGATGTGGGTATACAGACGACTACTGAAAATAAGCTGGGTCGACAGAGTTAGAAATAAGGAGGTCCTTAGACGGCTGAACCAAACAGCACAACTGGTCAATATAATAAAGAAACGCAAGCTGGAATACTTCGGTCATATTATGAGACACCCTGAAAAATATGATCTTTTACATCTGATCATTCAGTGAAAGATCCAAGGTAATCGTGGTCCTGGTAGAAGAAGAACATCATGGCTGAAAAATCTAAGGCAATGGTATGGAAAATCAACTACATCGTTATTAAGAGCTGCTGTCAATAAAGTCACGATAGCGAATATGGTAGCCAACATGATATCCAACGATCGATAACGGTCATGGAACTAGAAGAAGAAGAAGTAAAATGGTATACATTTAAAACTTAATAAAAAATTTTCCGAGTGGATTACACTTGGATGTGTAATCCCCCTTTCCCCTATATGCATATAAATATGCACTACTTTTGTCAATAATGTGCACAAAAAATTCAACATAAAATTGAACAAAAGACAGTATAAATTTGAAAAGTATATATTTATTATAGTCGATCCGATAGCCAAGCGGGCTGGGCGGCTGGCTTCTCCGTCGCTTCAATGCGAGAGATGTCAGTTCAATCCCCAGCTCGGTGGACAGAAAACAAAAAAGGCTAACAGAAAACAAATAGTCTAGAATATGCTGGTATTTGATAGGCCTATCGTGGAGCAGTATGGCAAGAGATAAGGGCTTGTGGTTCGGTGATACTCCTCCATAGATCCCTACCGGAAGGGCGTGTGCCGCCTAAATACTGGATATATATATATATATATATATATATATATATATATATATATATATATATATTTATTATACAGAACATCGCAAATCAGAATTTATATACAAATAATTGGGGGGACAGCCTGCTTGGGAATCCGAAAAGTTCAGATTATCCAAAAGACTTATCAATAATTAATGTTGTAGGGTTTAATACTGCAGTTACTGTATTTTTTCATATTGTATCTTACGTAAAATTGTTTACTTACTGGTACCGATTTTTTAGTGCACCGATACAAAAAAGATTTGAACTAAAAAGTGTTAAATAAGCGGCAAAAAACTAAACAATGGTCACCGCTAAATGAAAACATACCTCTTGTACATTAAAAGAAAAATTGGAAGTTTTAAAGAGATTGGACAACGGAGAAAGGGCGACAATGATAGCTTTGGAATTGGGAGTAGGTAAAACCACTATAAGTGACTGGAAGAAAAATAAAGCAAAATTTGAAAACTTTTCTTACGTATTATGTCAAAGTATTACTTACATATTTTATTCTCTACACATTCCTCAGCATCATCTTCAGAATCGGAGTTATTCTGTTTGGGATTAAATAACTCTGTAAGTTTTTGAATATCACAAAAGTCCATCGACATTTTATATAAACGTAAATATTGACCAAATAATTTCTTGTTGCTATAGCTACGTTTGACATTTCATTGATATTATAACAGCATGAGAGGATGCGTTTAGAATATATAAATGCGTGGAATAAACAAAAGTATTTATTTCTTTTAAATTCCGGATTATAATTTTTTTATTATAATTTAGGATTTTTAGTAAAAATGTTTATTTTACAAATGTATTTCTTAATAATAATAATAATAATAATAGTATAATTTGTTGACCTTTTGAGCCCCATATGTAATCAGTAAGGGCAAGTCAGTGGGACAAAAACGCTTAAAAATTATTAAATCCTCAGGAGATTACAGTTTATCCTAGAAATTTGGCACACTTGTTTGTGTTACCAAGTAGTTGTTGGATAGTAGATAGGTATTATGAAACGAATTCGAGGATAATGAAATGCTCGGTATTCGAGACAATTATCAAGCCATATAACAAATATTTTTCACAAAAGTTGTACCAGGTATCATTCATTATATAGAGTGGAAATCACTTATGGAATAAAATATTTCTGTCCTTGTTTTAAAAAATTATAAAACATGCCAAGACTTTTATATATAAATATGAGCTTTTTTTTAAACATAAATTTAAATGTATAGAGTGACTCACGCAAGCCTATCTTAGTTCAAAACCTTTTTTAATGTAACAAAAAATTATGAAAAACACTGTTATGCACGTCAACTTTGCAATATAAATGTGCGCTTGTTAGACATAAATTTAAATGTACAGGGTGACTCACACAAGTCTAGTGTAGTCCATCATCTTAACTTTTAATGGAACTACAATACAAAAACTAATATGTAGGCTCAATTATGAATAATACATAGTGCAATTTTGAAATTATATATCATTTTCTTCAAGAAAATAGGTATAAAACCCAATATATTAATACTTAGATTAAAAATTGATGCCTGTATTTAGCTAATTAAAAAAATACCATTATTTAAAGTGTGATAAATTATTAATTTCAAAATTTTATGTATTTATTATCATGACGAAAACTAATTTCATATATAAAACATATGTAGTTTCAAAATTCCACATTGTATTATTCATAATAGAACCACATAATATATATTTTAAGCTGAGGTTATTAAGTAGCTTCTAAAAACAAAAATGTACAGGGTGTTTCATTAAAAATAAAGATGATGGACTATGCTAGACTTGCGGGAATCACCCTGTGCATTTAAATTTATATTTAAAAAGCGCACATTGATGTATACAGTGCTAATCAAAAGTCCGTTCACTCCCACGTATCTTTTGAACAGTTTAAAACAGGTTTTTGGGTTGTGTGTTTAATAGTTTAGCTTTTAATGCATCCTCATAATCGTCGATGCGAAAGTGTATACTACAAATTCTTTTATTTAAACAGGACCACTTATCCTTCCTATGACACTTGCTCATCCATTGTTTTTGAATTTTTACATTTTTTGGAAATGTGAAAAACATTAAATTCCTTCCATCCTTTTTGGAATTTTTTGAATTATTTGTACAGATTGCTACACTACAAATATTTCCACCAGTCATCTGAATCAATAAAAAAAATGAATTAAGTTATGTTTTTCCAGCATTAATTCCAATGTTACCTTTAGAAATAAAATCTAGTAAGACACAACCACCTTAATATGTATCTTAACACTTGTATAAGAGTTTTGGGTCCAAGTTGTTTACTAATAATCACTCAATAATATCTATAGACACATTATATCTCAAGATATTAACATAAACTAAAGCACTAACGATATTTAACAACAAAATATGTCCTCCAAACCACTTCTCCTATGTTGTTTTCAAACAATTCGTAAAATTGACCCCCTGGGTGACGTCACACGTTATATTTCATTCTGTCAAATGTCAGAGTTACCATGTAACCTCCCTTTTACTAACCTTGAGTCAGAACGTAAGTGACGTAATAGTGGCAAACCCATCGAGCAAAAAGATAAAAGAGGGAATCTAATCGTTATGAAAAGGAGACCAAAAAAGTGACCTCTGATGGCGGACATATCCGGAAATGCAAAGGCGCTAAATTTAAATTTTCCAACCCTTGTTAACAATAGCTGTAAAATATTTTTCAGACAAGAAAGTTTTAATTAAATATTAACGATAATAGTTTAAAAAGTGACACAATTGGTAAAAAACTTCAATATAAATAAAATTTCATGTGACAGTTGGGACAAACAATAACATAACCAAACTAAATTTGACTTCTTAAACAAGGAAAGAGACTGTCTTTCTCTGTTTAAAGTGGCCTCTCAAGATAGCATTTCCTGTCTAACAATATTTTTGTCCCCACTACCTTTACATTCCCTCTTTTATCTTTTTGCTCGATGGGCAAATCACACTACAGCGCCACTGTGACATATAATTTTAAATAGGACCTTATGGCAAGTGATACCTCGTTTGAAAGGTATTGAAAATACCTATTTAATCATACGAATTCTACTTGAGTTCAAACTCATTTTGATGAATAAATTAAATAAATACTATAATTTTATTGTAGTTTCGCATTTAATTAAAAAATATTAAAAACTCCGCCTCTGGTTATTTGTCAAAAGAGTTGACGTTTGTTAATTCTCTAGTTGTTTTTAGTTTGCAAAAGCGTTTATAGTTTAATATTTAGTTTTTGTTCCTGCTTAGAAACCACATAGTTGGGCCTGTTTTTCTCAATATTAACTTAATCGCTGAAGTGTATCTGGATATGTTACAAAATGCAATTAAACCGTTAATACTTGAAACTCTGGAGAATAATCTAAATAAATTCTTCAACTTGGAAATAACGCTTCAAAAAGATGGTGCTCCTGCACACCATTATAGTGCAGTAAAACTTTACATAGATGAGGAATATCGTGGTAGATGGATTGGGCGACGAGGTAGGTAGAATGGCCAGCTCGGTCACCGGACCTCACACCATTATATTTTGTTCTGTGGGGACACGTTCCAGCATTTTTTAAATTTTTTTAAACTAGAAATAATAAGACATCTTTATACTTTTTATTAGTGAGATATAGTTTCTTTGAAGTTTAGCTTTTTAATATCTTTCATCTCCAAAAATTTTTATTTAAAGTTGTTAAGTATAAAAATAAATGAATAATAGAATAGTCAACACATTTCTGAAAACTTCTTTTGTTCTTCTTTTTTTCTTTAATTGTCAAAAGAGTGCTTGGATGCATTATTAATTAAGAATTTTTTTTTGATGGAAATTTGACAATCGAAAAAGGTCTTTAGGAGTCGAGAATAGAAAAAGGAAGCGGCAAAAAGAAGACTAGTGGTTCACTAGAAACGTTTTTAATCCGAATAAGATCACATGGAACCATGGACGTATAAATAATATCTTTATTTATACGTTCATGCATGGAACAGTATCAATTTGCAAACAAAGGATTTGTCAAATATCACAACTATTGAATCAGCGGTGTGAGTTGGTTTTCTGCTTTTTTACCTAATTTGACCATAACTGTGGCAAAAAACGTAGTACGGGCTTTTGGTCACATATAAAATTAATATAAGTATAAATAGAATAAAACAATAAGAGAGACCAAAACAAGGATATTTTAGAAAATATAGACTAGACCAGAAAAGCGAGTTTACTAGGAACAGGCCTGTATGGCACACCAGAGAGAAAACAAAACATCAGAAAGAAAATACGTAAAAAAACAACAACAATGCACAAAGAACACTCGGAGTTCGTAGCTCAAAAACACTCGAGGACAATCGTCAAATACAACTTGGGCCCGGTTGCCTTAAAGAGGACAAGCTTTATATTATTATATTATTTCAAATTTTTATATATTTTTTAATGTCATAGTATACATATTGCACTAATTTTTATTTTTGTTTCAGGGCTACCTACAAAAAAAAAAACCAAAAAAATACACAGAAGAACCGGCCTCGGCCACCAAAAAAATTTAAAAACACTAACAAAAACCGGCGAGCCAAAAAAAAAAATTAATAAGACCTCCAGAAACCCGGGCACGTAGGGCAGAACCCCTTAAGCACCAAGTCGCCGAACTGAGCCTAGCTCAGAGCAAAGACTTGAGGCCCAACTAAGCAATTTTAGTTCGCAGATAAGCCACATTAGCATAACTGGAATATAGCGACACTGCGCTGTCCTGAGTTTTGCATTTGGTTAGGAAACCATGTTGGGGTTCTATTACCCAGGACCTCCACATGAAGTGCATTTGGCTGATAGTTGTGCCCCTACCGCGCATCAGAGGGGGGAAAGGGATGGTCTGAAGCATTGGAGAGCGGTGGAATGACTCCTGATTGTACACGAGTTAACACACCTCGCTTCAATGAATTGTTACACCCGAACGTGATTCTTAGGGGTGAACATTTCTCACAGGATGGGTTTAATTAAATTGCTTGCTTGCTTAAGAAACTTAAAATATTGAACTTAAACAGATATAAAATTGATCTAAGCATGTTATATTAGTAACAGTAACCGTATTTTAAACCACTTAAAATAAAGCTGGAACTTTTGTTTAGTGTTTTATACAAGTTACAAAATTATTTTATATATTTCTCTAAAACAGGTCAATCACATAAAATTGACTTGAACGAAGACTTCTGTCACTTAAGGTTAATTTTCATGACTTATGTAATTCTGCAGGGTAACACTATTTAAAACAATATAACCAAAAACAATTATGTGCTGTAAAAAACCTAGCATTGTTTTAACAATTATTCTTGATGTAACACGAATTAAATGCTATTAACAACGGTTTTATGGAATTTACATTTATCTTGTGTTTACAAAATAACACGAAAATGACGAAATGGGACAATGCATTTTAAATTGCGATTAGATTTTCCTACTTTAATTTCGAGCATACTTCCTTTAAATTGCCTCAGGAGCGGACAAAAAGCTGATACGTATAAAAAAATAAATATAATCATAAGTTCTATATGGATTTAGTTTTTTATTTTTTTTTATAATTATGTTTATTTACAATCTACATCAAAAAGAGTATTAAGTAAATGTGATACAGGTTTTGCACGTGAAGGGGAGACATCC